ACTTTCCCCAGAGATAATAGACAAATATATTTCCCCATTTCTCTTCATCCATTGAGCCCATTTTGGAAAGAAATTTTGAATCAAGTACCAGGTTGAGCTTTCCTGAAGAGATAATTAGAAATTCAACTACAGTGTCATTCAAAAAGAAAATATTTGAATAAAACCTTTGAAGCTCTTTAGGATCACTTGTCAATATTTCTTCTTTTTTCACCATTCCCCACATCTTTTCCAGACTATTGATGATATCATGCATTTTAGCAACCTCATTTGCCACATAGTATTTAGAAAAGCTGAAAACTTGATTTTCTTGTGGCTTCATTTCATTTGATCCTGTTTTACTAGCCATATTCTTGGTGAATTTGTTTGAAATAATGTAATCTATGTTGTTCTGAATTGAAAAAATTGTATCATGTAATTCTATTCCTTTGCGTTCATGTTTGAAAATACCTTTTGTATCAATCAGACATGAATGTAACAGCTTTCCAAAATGATTTGAAAGGGTTTCCTTCCATACTGAATCCCAAGACCAACATTCAATTTCCATCAAACTTAACACAGGAGTACACAAAAAAATGGAAAAATGTGAGGGATGATTTAAGACTTACTCATTGGATCTTGCACACACATTAAATTCCCAATCAGCTTACCTATGCAAGGAGGCCATTTGTCCCAATCCACTTTCCTCTCAAATAATGTGGAGCGCCCCGCAGATATGTCTGAATTTTTCTTGTCAGTTATGAGTACTACGTTCTAGAAATGAAAAAAATTCAGCTCCACTCTTACTTTCGCCAATTTCCTTCATATTGTAGCCAATTTTTTTGGTTTGGTTGAGGTTTCTTGAAGCATCTAGACATATTGGACACATATTTTTAATCAACATTTTCATGGTCACTTTGGGAAATCATATATTAGGCATTGGTATGAGAATCATCTTTCATACACACCCTCCCTGGCACCCCTCCAAATGTTAAACTCTGCATTGCTGCACTCCATCAAATCTTCAATTGTGATGAAACAGGTGCTCTTCCCAAATAATCCCAAGAGGAAAATTTTTGAAAGACCAAGGGCTGATAAGTGCATTTCTGGGGTGGATGCTATGTTAGTTATGAAAGGGTAGATTTGTTTGATTTAGATGGAAGAAGGAATAGCAGGTTCAGTTGAAAAGACAGGTTTTAGTGTACTTGTATAGTATGACCAAAGTTAGATTATATTTTTCCCTTTGAATCAACAGTGAACATGTTGGTCTTGGTAAGTGAACTTAAATCCCCATCAGAATTCGGCAAATTTATCAGTATCCACTTTCCCTTTTACTGTTGGGGCTGACATTTCCTCTTTGTTGTTATGGGCACAGCATTGATGGGGAAATACAAATGCTACAAGCTATTTTACATGTTTTGGCAAGAGGGAAGTGAGGGGAAGTGATTCTGTACAACTTCTTTTTATGTAGAAAAGTTTAGAAAAAAGTAACAATAGGGGGGTTCACGATTGAACTTTAAGGCCATTTTTAAGGTGTTTCTGATCATTAATTTACATTTTTTTTTGTGATGTACAGAAGGTTCAGAAAGCAGTTAATCGGAAAAACTCAAAAAAATTATAAAATGTGGCTCATAAACACCTTAAAAATCACTCTCAAGTTCAATCGTGAACCCCCCTGATATGTAACTATCCCTCAAAACTAGGGGCTTCCTTTGGGAAAACCTGTCAGTTCAAGAACTTATATTGCATAGAGATAAAATTCTAACAGACAGGAACTGACCTGTACAAAAACAGATCCTCTCAGACAGACTAAGATCATGTCAGTTTCAGGGACTGTGTTTAAAATGGGAATGTGTAAATCTTTCCACATAAAAAAAACAGAAATATAATAGGTGCTATAATATATTTCAAAACAAATGGCCTGCTGTAACACCCTAAAAATGAACAGACCAAATATGAACTGGTCTGAAATGGTCCACAATGCTCATACATAAAGCTTAACACAGCAAGCAACCAGAAGCCAGTGGTGATATTAAGTTTGCTGGACAGATACCCAAGCAACAATAGGAGGTATCAAATATGAAAACGTTCAAAACTTAAAACACCAATTTCTCCTGAACCAATAAATGTTTAAAAAAAGTGTAATAATAAACATTCATGACATGAATTCATTGTAGTTTCATAGAAGGGGCTGCAACAGTTTAAGATAAAATGAGGTTTTAATTTTTCAGATTTTCTGTATTTGATACCCCCTTATAGGGGGTATCAAATATAACCAAATCTACCATTATTTAATTGACTGGTTTGAAAAAATCCTCCATTTTTTAAACATTTTGGTTATCCATTTAACCCCTTTTGGGGCTAAAGATGGCCTCAGGTATCCATTTGCAAGTACCTGCTAGTGGCTGGTAGGTACCTGCTGGTGGGTTCCAGGTGCAGGTGCGGGTATCAAGATTCTGGATTTGATAACAAGCAGGTAACCTGGTGCAGGTACCCACCATATGCCCAAATTATAAGTAGGTTGGCATTTATGTCCATACATGTAGATAAACAATTTTATACTCTTGCACAAGGTAATATTTCTTTGATACTTCAGTTGTAGGCATTTTTCTGGGCATACTCCTTTATTACAAAGGACCAGATCACCAGGTACATAAAAGATACCCCTGTTTTAACAGGTCCTGATTCATTGGAGGGCACCATAGAAACCCCTGTAACTCAGGCTCCTCCCTTTATAAAAACTTAACAGTTTTTATTATTTCTTTTCTTAGTATCAAAACCTCCCAATTCCAAGTGTTACCCACACTTGTACACCATTTTTCTTAGCTTTGCACCTGGTTTAGCTAGAAGAGTCAAGCTCTTGGCATCACCTAGGCTGACAAACATAGAAATAAATGAAAAATAAACTTTTCTATTGCACCTGATCATCTTCTCTGTCCTCCTCTTCCCCCTCCTCCTCTTCTTTGGATTCTTCCAATTCTTCTAACTCTCATGCCTTTTCTTCAAAAGGGTCAATTTTGTCAGATTTCTCCCTGCGCCTCCGACTCCGTAAAGAGATGTCGGAAGGATAGTGTTTCAACTCAAACCATTCAATGTAAGCATCCACGTGTCAAAACCCCTACAGGGGAACGTGAGAGCTCACCCAATCAATCCTCTATCTTTACCAAAGTAGATGAAACAGATTGCAACGACAAAAGAGGCAATACTCAATCTGGGCAGTCCAAGGAGAACCAAAACCATCTCAGGTCCCCAACACTGTAACAGATACGATACACTGTGTGTATCATTGAGAATTCTGCAAAGCTGCATGGCCAAAAACCAAATTTGTTGAATCTCCTTGCAAATAAAAGCGAGATTGGTCAGATAGTTTTTTTATTGGGGCTCAGATACATAGTGATACATGGCAGATACATGGCAGATACCGTATCTGTTTCAGTGTTGGGTCCACCAAGGATACCCATGGGTTAAGGTCATGAGTACTTAAGAAGCCACTCTGGCCAGTCAAGCTATGATTCTCATTCCTCAGACTAACCAACAAAACCGCTCTTAAACTACCAAAAAACATTAGAACCATCTCCAGTCGCATCTCCACCCCAACTCTTGCTACTCGCATTAGCCATTGCAATGACAAGTAAGCATTGTGTCCTTCTGCATCCATCTACATGGAATGCCTGACTTACCTTAATTGATTGAACCATTCATAGACAACGATCAGGTTCTTTGTCACCCTAAACACTCACCGCAGCGCTCCCACTTGCTATTGCATCTTACCTAAGTAAGAAGCAACATAAAATTTATGCAAGCAATATTAGATCGGACGCTGATGATAAAACGTGTTCTTGCTTTCTAACGCTGATCAATCAAAAAGTATCAATAAAATAACAATAAACCACAAACAGAATCTTTCCTTGTCTTTTCCTTCTCTCTATCAATCCCTTCTTTCTCTATCAACACATCACAGTCTTGTCTTCTTCCAAAAACCAAAAATATATAAAAATGAAACCACAAGTCAGACGACCAGTCTTGCTCTTAGGTAAACTTTCTCTTTCTCTCTAAAAAGAATCAAACACATCTTTGTACATAGTCACACGAGCCTAATGAAATAAATCCTGCTCTTAGTTGCTTGAATTCTTACAAATTTGCATTGAGCTTTGCTCTCTGCCTTTCTTTCTTTCTTTCTTTGTTTTCTATCTCCCTCTTTCGCATGTTTCCTTCCTTCCTTGTTTTGTTCACCAATTCTTCTGAATCATTGTCATCACAATTACAAAACGAAAAACCCACCAAAAAAAGGCATGTTCCCTCTTCCTTTCCAAATACCTTCTTTCTTCCTTCTACTCTTATTTTTTGTTTGTATTTTCATTCCAATCCCTTTGTGCATGACAAATCTCTTCCTGCTTTTTTATATGTTCAAATACCACACATTTAATGATGAACTGTATCATTTGCAACACCACTGAATTCAGGTATTTTTGTCTGCAAAAGCTGTATGAATATGTGTATGTTTGCAGACCAATGATCAAACACTTGCATTCTTTTCTCTAATCAGCTCTATGCATGTAGTATATTTCTTATTTCTCTTCAAGTCCATTGATGTTGATGAAAAATCTCTGGTGAACAGGACACTTATGATACATTATAATCAGGGTGGGTGTAAGTTGGAATACCTGTCTAGGTACCCCCGCCTACATATATTTTCACCTCAAATGTCAACACCTGCATCCGCACCCAGCACCTGTTTCCAGGTACCTGCTTTGGAAAACCGGTACCTGCAAAAGGGTGCTTTTGGGTACCTGCTGACATCACTAGAATAAATCTGCACAAGATGCTGGCCAACTGGTAAACACATCCTTGGATTCTGTCTCCTTCCTTCCATTCAAAATAGGGTGGATTGACATCACGAGCCGCTGCAACACTTTCCGGCTGTGAGATCGGGAGTCGGCAGCTAGCTAGCTGTGAAGGTTATGTGTGGAGCTTTTGGAGCAAAGGTGTTCCATCGGAAATTGCCCATGTATTTCTGTGCTGCGATGAGTACGCAGCGGTTACACAGGAGGGTGTATGCGCTCGGTCGATATAAAGTTCTTTTCAGCTCGCATCTCTCTCCCCCTTCCACCAACTCCCCTAAAAACCCAAACCTTGGCAACTCATGACCACGCTCGGACAATCACGATAGAGCTCTTCTGCATCGTCTTCGTTCAAACAGCAAGCCTTCCAAGGTTATATACAGACCAGTGTCAACTATGAAGCTTACATGGTAGACCTATTACGATTGTGAGTCACGTTGGTACGTTGATGGTCATATACATCATTAAAACTGACCTGTTCTATGCTCCATAACTTACAATTCTCTCCTCTTCAGTCACAAGTAATATAAATACATACAGTACTCGAAACCCTGCACAGCGATCAAAGCGCCGAGGAAGTAAAACAGTATTGGTCACACCACTAAAAGAAACCATACAAGACAATGATCAACTCAAATTCCGTCCATCCTAACTCAGGTGGGTCCAATCTATATGCAGCTTGACAATGGTTTTCCACTCTCTTACTGAATCTGATTTCGTCCCCTGAATTGTCATCAGGAAATCAAACTGCCGAAGAGGATTGTGAAACTCCACATCCTACCAACCAACCCACAAATGGTCATGAACTACACCAGGCTACATCATACCTATCGCTCCACGATGGAAGAAATCCCGATCCGACAGACATCGACCATCAAAACCCACCAAACCTGTTCAGCTCTCCGCAACCACATGTCTCGCAACAAGAAGCCGACGATGGTAATATCCCTCCTGAAAGATTGCCCACCTATGGTGAACTCAAAGATCAGGAAGGACATCGATTTGGAAGATGGCGAGGATGGATTGAAAAACGTGCCCGAGAGCGAGTTGAAGAACGAACGATTGATCGCCAGGAGGCAGAACTACATGGCCGTCCATTCGGTACCGGCTGGGACTTACCCCAATCAAACACATCTTTTATTCAACCACAAGCCACCCGTCTCGATCGAAACTCATCTATTATATCTGCCAGAGATGAACGTGCAGCCTTCAAATCAGCTTCCCGAAATCACAAAGATGCATTCTTGAGACATCAGAAGGGCAAATTCGATGGCTCGACATCTGGACATAAACCAAACCTGGAACCTGGGCCAGGAGCTGTGAACCTTACTCCATCTACCTCAATTCATCAGATCGGATCCCGTTTTCTGCCTCAATTCCCCTCACAACCATTATGTGCAATTCCCTTACCACTCAGTAGGATCAGGAATTACACCTCTGCCAGCGACCCACCTGCCGAAAGATTCCTACTCGTTGGGACTATTGATGGTCTCTATGTTTGCGATCTGATGCCCTCTCTCTCCTCGACCGTCAAGAAGGATATGGTCTCACCAACCGATAGTAAAATTTATCAACTATGGCAAGGCTTAGGTGTCCATCAACTGGAGATCGCAATCGAAGATACTTCCCACTCTTCAAATACATCTCTACCTGGAATCGTTATTGCCCTCACATCTTCTTCACACGAATCCACCATCAGTCTTGGTATGGATGGGATCACCAAATCGATCAAGATGTGGCCACTACAGTCGATGATCAATCTTGTCAAGTTTCGTGCGTTTAGTGAAGTTGGTTGATCAAGGCTTTTTTCTTTATCCTTTCTCAGGGCATTCACAACACAGCAAACCTTATAGATGCTGTTGACTGATCAACTTTCAATGCTTGCGTCTATCTCCTCATCAAAAAAAAACCCCCTCTGCAGAGCTCTGAATGTTTAGATCTAGTCGAGCGGGCATCGAGTACAAAACGAAATTCAGCTTTGGTCGTCGGAAGTTCTGCTCTAGCTGGATTCAAGTCAATGTTTGAGAAGGGCAAACACAAGGCTGAGGGTTCGATCAGCAGCTTATCCGACAGTCTCTCGAATACCTTCCCTTCTCAGACTGCCAGTACATCTAGCCGACATCAACAGAGGGATTCTTATTCTCAAAAGCACACCACAAACAATCCCGTCACAAATCCGTTGCCTTCCTCTTCGAATGAGAAGTCATCAAATCAATCCCATCTCGAGTTACCTCTCCAATGGGCCAAGCAAACCATATCATTAGATTTACCTCGGATTCAGGCACATGGACCGATCTTATTCATCAAACTTTCAAACTCACCCGTTCCAGGATTCAATCCCATTAATGATCAACTCGATCAAATTAATGACTCCAAGTCTCTTCCAGTTGGACTAAGATCAAGATCACGTGCGCGCACTGATGACGGAGATGATGAGTCCCATGGTCATACACCCAATGACGGATGGTGGTACTTGATCATAGCTACTAAACAAATGATCTTTGTAATGGAATCTCAGCCTAACCCTCAACGGACATGGCAGTATGTCTTTGTCTTCTTTTCATAAACCATCCAAGAGAGGAACAAAAATTATCGCATCTGCTGATTCTATGTTCTATCATTTGATTGGTTAGTCTATGTGCTGAGATGTCGGCCCCGTTCACAGCGAAGACTGCACATCTGGTCCTATCTGAATTTTCCAGGTCCAACAATAATAGGGCTGCTTCTCACTCACGTACTCCCACCCTGAGCCGAAGACCGCTCAATCCACGGCTTGGATACGGTGAACTGGCGGTGCTACTGACGATGAAGGAGTATGCAGTCGTGATTTCATTGAGTGACTTGAGTGTTCGAGAACTAGACCTGCAAGGCACCGTCGCAACCAGTCAAACTACGAGTAACATTTCATCTTACACAAATACGCTAAGGCCAACTACCGGTAGTTTTAGTGGCTTGAGTCAGTTGGAACGAGTCCAGAATAACTTTAAGCCATTCGGACGTAATGTTTCTTCGATCGCAGGCTCAATCGAACCTGTCTTGATCAACAAACGCGGCAAAGATGGCTTTGGAATATCCCGAGATGATGGCTTTCAAGTCGAGAGTCGTCGAGCAAGTAGGTTGGTGAGTGATCGACGTTGGGCAGGATGTGAAGAACTATTGATTCCAGTTCCAAGCCAAGCCCGTAATTCCCAGAACACCACTGGACCTGGTGGTCGTGAAGAGGTTTCAACAGAAGAAGACCATCACCTTCGAGCTATTTATTTGGTAACTCGCGGATATCTTACTTATGCGGTTATCTGTCCATTTGGATATGAATCCCGTTCACGATCATCTCGGGCGGAACAGTCAAGCTCATGCATTGATCAACATGCGGGTCTCGCGGGGGCACTTCCATTACCTCTTTTATTGAAGCCAGTCCATACATTCACATGGAGAGCTATCCCAGTGAAAGTACAGGCCCAGATTATTCCTACACCGAGTAAATGGGCAAAGGTGGAGAAGAAGAAAGACGCTGAGGGTGGAGCTGATGATCCTCAAGGATCCAACGATGAAGTATTCTGTTGTTTGACGGCTTTTACGGCTTCGAGTGTCGAGGTTCAAGAAGGCTTTATTTCGTTGAAAGTTCTGAGGATGATGTGGGAAGCCGGAAGATCCAAAGATCGACACACCGGGAACGTGTCTTTTTTCACGCCCGCTAGCAATGCTTATCGACGCCGATTCCGACAAGCCTCAGCCTCATCCTTTTCGTCAACTAGCACGACCAGTGATAGCACCAACAACCCCACCCAGAACGAAACCGCGCCCACGGAGATTCTGCCAGTCCCGCGACGAGGCCCCGGCTTACCCACAACTCCGCGCCCACCAAACGAGACTAGATCCAGATCCTCCTTTTCTTCCAACGATCAACCGTTCGAAGAAAGCGAAGAGGAATTAAATGACAATAGTTCCTACGATTACAGCGCCAAGATCGGATACTTGTGTAGTTCTGCGGCTTGGTTCTCACGATCCTCAGCTGCTTCGAATCCGAACCCGCTGAAAGATTTCGACCATCCTAGTCATCCTTCATCTGTTCATCCGCTCGACCGTAATCCAAACAGCTTCGATTCTTCGACGTCTGAGTCTACTACAACTGGCCCCCCGGATCCTCATCATCCTCAGGAACATCCTCATCCCCAGGAACACCAACACTGTAACAATCCCCATGCTCCTCCTCATCCTTTGACATCTACTACGACTGCTACTACTAGAGACTTCACTCAGGGTAGTTTCTTTTGGAAACAGGCCGTTGGTGAATGGAAAATTATGTATGTTTGTAATAGTATGGACTTATAAATACTTGGCTTTTCTCTCTCTCTTTTTTGGTTGTTTTATATACTAGACACTTTTCTTTTTTTTTCTCTAGTCCCTCATTCTGTGATCTTGTGTTTTCTGTTGTAGTTACCTTGTTTTTTTTTTTTTTTTTAATTATATAAAATCATTTTCCTTAATGGTTGTGGGTTTACTTTAAAGTTCAATTCCTTTTTTTTCTATATCTCAAGTTGTGGAGTAACACAAGCATCCATACAAATAAAAAGAACTTCTATTATCAGACCCAAGCAAACACATACTCACACAGTTGTCTGTGGGTTTTTCTTGTGTCGTTGGTAATATGTAATACATGATGAAATATGTGGAGGGGGGGGGAGGTATTGATGGATGAGGTGTTGGTGATCACCAGAGTCTTTGGTTGCATACTCTAACATATTTGGTCCCAAGCTTCATTGGTGCTGACATGACTTCCCGATTCCAGGAGAAGAAACCCCATGATGCTACATGAATGCATGTGTCAAGTTGATCTAGCGTGAGCTCTGTTAACAGGCATCTATGGGACTGTAGCCGGTGCCACTGTAGTCCCAACCACTTGGCCCTCTCATCATGTGGATCAAGCATTTTTTTTTTTTTTCATTACCAAGGTGGGGAAAAATCCTTGTTACACTGCTTGAAAGCTGAAAAAAACCAAGCATTCTGGATGACACTAATGGTATTATCCAATGCACTGGAAAGTGACATTTCAAAAAACCCCTCTGGATATCGTGATGTATGTAGCTTGCCGCTGTTGGTTAGGCTAAGTGACCCAAAGCTCATTGGTGGCATTTTCAACTTGATTGTGAGCTCAAAATGGTTGTCCATCCTGTCTGTTTGCACAAGTTCAAAATTCCAGGAAAAAAGAAGCCCTGAAAAAAATTCACTCCTGGGTGTTCTAGTTTGAAGCCCCCAAAAACAGAGAAACTCATGTCACCATCTCCAGAAGTCCACAAACTTGAACCTTTTTGAACTAATTCTAAGTTTTTTTAGCTCTGCTGTTGGGGCCCCAAAAGGTTTGTTAGAATCTAAGCCTGCAACACTGTGTATACAGGAAAAGCAGCATCGCAAACACAAACTCAATTCTCAACATCAGCAAGTCAGCAAAACCTCACCTAAATCAACCACACCCCTCTCCATAAAAACCAGAAAAAGTACCACTAGTACTTCTAGTTTCTTTTCTTCACACAATTAAGTACTTTTGTCTCCTGTTCAAAACTTTAATTTTTGTCTAATTCATCTCATTTCCTTGATAAGCTGAGAAAGGCCTTGCAAAGAGATGCACAATGAGGAAAAAAATGAAGAATGAAAAAGGAAGAAAGAAAAAAAGAAAAAAAGGAACAAGGAAAGAAAGAACAGAAGAAGTACAAAAGTAAAAATATTATAGTCAGTTTGTATTTTGTGAGTTGCAACACAAGTCAGTTCTAGAGGCAAAGAAAATGTTTAATGAAGAATTATCTATTCATCAGAGGTGGTCTGAGATGTCTAGGTTGAGGGGGATAAGTTGGTTGATTGGTGTAAGGGATTTTGATTAGGTTGAAAGTTGAGCAGAGCTATCAGACCCTATGAGTTGATTATAAACTATTTAAGGATGTATGAGAAAAGTTACAGGGTCAGAGGTCAATAATCATTTGGAAGGGACCAATGGGCTCAGTTTATAGGCATCATATGACAAAGGGCTGAGCTGGAATGCAAGACTCCTCATTTCTTGTTTTGATTGTGATGAAGTATCAGAACAACAGGAATGGTACATCATCCCTGGCTGATGAAAATATAAACAGACCGCCAAGGGAAACCTTCTATGATTCAGTGCTTCTGCTGTGTCCATTTTCTACCACAGGAGTTTCTATCTTGTTGCACTGAGGACCACTCTTCAGGATTCTCTCCTCAGCTTTTGGATAGATACCACCTGAACTAACTAAGCCTCCTGGGACTGTAGGTTCAGATCACCCCAATGCAAAGCATCTCCCATTCCCAATGGGAGGCTTATAAGTTTTTGCAGCTTTCCTGCTCAAGAGCTTTCAAAAATGTGTGGCTTTTGAACAAATATTTCAACATAGTGAGATTAGGAGATGCATCATCATGAGATGGTGAGGTGAGAATCTCATGTTCAATGTAGTACTAGTATCAATTTCTACCTACATGCACTTGGAGGAGGGTTCTGCCCTTTCCCAGAAGCTGAGGTGGATGGAAGATGAACTTCTGTACTTCAATTGAATCTGCATGGAATTGTTGGGAATCCACAAACATTTCTCTGGTCAAACACACAAAACAGAAAAACTTCAAAGGGGGGAGGGAGGAGTGTGTGAAAGAGGAAATGATTGGTACCAAAAAAAAGAGAAAATCATGGCTTTGAATTTGATATCACAGGTGTTGAGAATTTGTGAGGAGAAGGCAAGTGCCATCTTAGTTGCCAAAGGTTCAAGTTTAGCAACTGCAGTGCACTTTTATCAACTTGTGTCCGGACAATTTTGCACCACAAGTTAATAAAGATAGCCATAGTAAAATGCAGAAGGTTCCACTGGATACTAGCCAGTTCTTGCTCTAGCAGCCTGTACCAGTCATTCAAATTGTATTCTCTCCTGTGACCAATACCGCCATTTGATTGAAGTGTACACTCTCTAGTGAGTCAGTTACCAGTACCAGTGCTGAGAGTGTACTCTCTCCAAGAATAGTACCAGTGTTGAGAGTGTAATCTCTCCAAGACTTGTACCAGTGTTTGAGAGTGTACTCTCTCCAAGACTGATACAAGTGTTGAAGAGTGTGTACACTCTTCAAGACTGGTACCAGTCTTTGAGGGTGAAATCAATGGCAATTGTGTGTTGGGGGGATATGAGGAAAGGGGGAGAGAGAAACATAGGTAATGTCTGGGATACTTGTAAGGTTGGATTGCTATCCAGTTTCTATCTTTGGCAACCCAATAGCTACTGGGAGGCAGGTTGATGTCTTGTTTTTCAGCTTTTGGAGCTGCAGAGGCATTACTAAATTGGGCTTGGTTTCATTTAATTGGTCAAGCAGCCTTCAGTGGCAATGGTATTGCAGTACTAAAACTTTCAAATTACATGGGGTCCTTTTTAATTTTGGATGTGATTTTTTTATCAAGTGATCATTTATTTTTCCTGGTGGATGTGGGCTTGGTATTATTTTCTGTATTATTGGTAATGAAGCAAAGAAATCACTAGAGGAAAAATCTGGATCTAACACAGTATCTGTGATTTTGGGCTCCAAGGACATACAAAGAGGTGATTGAGCAGGAATCAACTCACAAATTTCAGAGAAACAAGGGGGCCACATTTCCCGGAAAAACTCATTACTGATGTGGTTTTTATTTTTTTTTTTATGCCAAAGAACTTGGAGATGTTTGTAAGACTTTCTTGTGTCTTTTTGATATGCAACTATTGTTTATTTATTCTTCAACAGGATATTGTATGTGTTTCATTTTTCTTATACTCAAAATTTAGATTAGGAAATCCTTGTGTTTATGAATCATGTCCCTTCCAGTTAAATTCTTATAATAGTTGTTTGGAATTCTGTCTATTACAACCAACCAAAACCTCACACTTAAAATTCACGGCATGTGGCACAAAAAGTTGGGTGGAAATTGTTTCTCAGGAAGAAAGCTCAAAATATAAACAGGGGTTTATCATTGTTATAAAAGTACAGGATCTTATTTTGAACTAGCAGAGTGTGAAGTAGGGTAGTTACATAGAAGGTAGAGAAAGCCGCAGAACAATGTGAAGAAGGTACAACAATGCTACGTCGAGAAAAACGACAACACACAAGAGAGAACAAACAAACAAGGGTGGTACTTCTTTGCTCAAGCAGAATTCAGTACGATTCGAAAAGATCAACGAGACAAAAAATCCGGTGGAGCTTCCTGACAGCAAGCATACAGACTGAAGGGTAAGGAGAAGTAGGTGTTTTTTCATTTGTTGGTTACACCGAAATGGACAATAGATCTAGTTTTTGATGCATCAAATGCGGGTTGTGGGCTCCAGTAGCCATTCAAAAGGAAGCTTCGAATTGAGAGAAATCAGACGTAAATTCACTGATAGCAGGGTAGAACGTTGATTTAAAATGACCGAACAATTTGTCCATCACCTCATCGACCTTGGCAGTGGGAGCAGAAGGGGTCATGTGAGAGGCGATGGATTCCATGGTGTCGTCAACAGATTTTTTGAGTTGATGCAAGTGGGATTGGGTGCCACGGACTTGCTCGACTCGTTGGAGAACAGCAGCACTAGACAAGCAATGGACAATGTGTTGGAGGGCCTGCTTAATCCCGGCTGAATGGTGCACGATACTTTCGAGCTCAACTGTGGGCAACTTTTCGCTAATGGTGAAGAGATTTGTGGAGGCGATTTTTTGGTAGAGGCCCCTGCAAGACTTGACGATTGGGTTGCATTGCTCCAGAAGTTTGACGAGACGCGGTGTGACTTTGTGGCTAAAACCTTGATCGTCAAGAAGGTCAGGGTGTTGGGCGATGCTAATTTCCCGGTTGATTTTGACAACAAGGTGACCGACTTCTTCTTCACCCTCCTCCCAGATAGATTGGAGTAAGCCAAAGTCAGAGAGGTCCACGAGATGAATGATATGGTTGAAAGAGTCTTCGACCATGTCGATGCTCGCATGCGGTTGGGCCGGCTCCCCGTCATGGCCAGAGTGGGTAAGATCCCCACTGGAAATTAGCTCAGAAATTTCATCGAATACGTCAGGGAGAAAAATGGATATCACTTCGGAGATTTCCTGTTGCAAGGTTTCACATCTGAATTTCTTCAACGTGCCAGAATTTTGATCGTTCAAGCCAAACTTTTCATCTTTGGGGTCAAGGGTGTTGGCAGACAGACTGAGGTTTACCAAGGCTTTGCTGAGGCTGGGAACGATAGCCAAAGCATCATTGTACTGAGGCTGAGGGGAGGCGGAATTTTTGGGAGATAAGCCCAAAGCCTTGTACAATTCAACGACTGAGTTTCGAGCGGCGGGTAATAAGGTAGTCTGAATTTGACTCAAGCTGTCTTGCCGGATCTTGAGGTCTGTGGCTTTTCCCTCCTGTTGGTGACCCTTCTGTTGGCGTAATTCTTGGCATTTTCTGGATAAATCGAGCAACGCCTCGGCGAGAGCTGCACGATCAGGATATCATAAGGGGAAAGGAAAAAAGAAGTAAGGGGAAAGGAAAAAGGAAAAAATAGTCAGTTTTCGTTTCAAGAGTCACGGCAGAACTTTGCTCCATAGGCGGGGGAGACGTAAGGGAGGAGTAAATATGTACTCACCATCGGAGGGCTGGGAAGGCGACATATCGAGGTTAAGCTTAGTGGTTAGTTTGAGGTAGTTGGATGTAAGTGCTTGCGAGTACCTTGAATGTTGGGGAGAGCGATCAAGATGGAGTGATGACCGAGGGTTTGAGGCTAGATGTGCAACGTGGGGGGTTAGGAAGACAGCAGAATAGGGCAAGCGATGGCCTCAATTTATAGGCATCATATGACGAAGGACTGAGCCGGGATGCAAGGCTCTTCCGCTCTTGGTTTGGTGGTGATGAAGGATTGAAATTATCAAAGCACCGAGAATGGTAATCCCTAGCCAATGATGATGTAAATGGACCGCCGAAGGAACCCTTGCATGTTGCAGTCCCGCTACTGGATGCATCCATTTCCTACCACATATGTATAAGCGGGTGCCTATCCCGTCGCGCTGAGGATCGCTCTGCAGTCTTCTCTCCTCAGCTTGAAGATTCTATCGGCTTTGATGTATCCGTGCACTCTGGCAACTTGAAAAACACTTGTTCCGAAACCGGCAAACATTTACGTGACTTCCTCCCTCAGCTTTCAATCCCACTCAGCGCCGGACTGTTCCAGTATATTATAAGCATCGTATGACGAAGGGCTGAGCCGGGCTGGAAGGCTCTTCCGTTCTTGTTTTGATCACCGGGAATGGTAGTTAAAACCCTAGCTGGACGATGTAAATGGACCGCCGAGGGAATCGTTGTATGCTGCAGTGCAACTGCCGTATCCATTTCCTACCACATAGCGGCTATTGGGTGCCCATAGCTGCCTATCCCGTCACAATGAGGACCGACAACTCTGCAGTAGCTTCTCCTGAGCTTATAGATATCATCGGGCTTGGATTCACCCGTGCCCTCCGACTTGACAAACTCATATTCCGAAATAGGCAATTATTACTCCCTCCCTCAGCTTTCAATCTCACTCAGCGCCGGACTCAGCTGCTTTCTCACCAAAAAAGAAACGTGTAAGGACTGAGAAAGTCCTTCACTGCAAAAGGGGAAAAGGCACCGGGAACGGCTGAAAAGCCTAAGCAGGGTTCTAAGACCAAACAAGGGGGGATGTATTTCCTGGCTCAGAGAGATGGGATCAGTTCTCTCTGTCTATATACAAGTCCTAGATCTGGAAGAAGAAGTGATGAATGAAAAATAAGAATGAAAAGGCTTACCTGGCTCAGAGAGATGGGATCAGTTCTCTGTGGAGCCAGGTACGGATCTCAAGCAGATAGGAATATAATTACAAAGATTCTTGTCTGTGATACCCTTGTGAAACCCAACCGGGGAGGGGTTTTACAAAACGCGCATCTATTTGTAGCGCGTGTAGCATCTCTGATCGACCATCGTACCATCGCCGGATCCACATTTTACACACAATAGAAAGCTCCGCCATTGGCAAAGCCTTAGATCAACTCACCTCAGGGAACAGTCTAACTTGGTCGAAGTACCTGATCCTGGAATCGGTATGATTCATTTGAATATGCAGTTTTGCTTGTTTTAATCTGTTTCTGTGATTTCTATTACTATGCGAAGTCTAGTCTGTTGGTTGTGCTCTTGATAAAACACTTTGGTAGACTATGGAACCTTGTCAGATCGGTCAATTAGGGTATGTTTCCGAGGATGATTTCTCAGATCTTGATCGTCCTTCTGCGAGGAAATTTAGGCAGCAATTATAAACAGATTTTGGTTTTTTTTTGAGTTTTTTTTTAAAAACTTTTGACTTTGTTTTTTTTTATGTTTTTAATTTGAAATGATACTCAAAAACAACTCAAAAAGATCTCAAACAACATGGAATTACAAACGCGCGGGCCCAATTTTGGGCTATCCTGTCAGTACATAGCCAGATTGCTTATGGATCCAGCCTGTATCAGCCTCATCCTCTGAACCGTGCGACCACAATGCTGCCTCCGCCAATCGACCCCACGACAGTCATCCATCTCGCGGCCCTGTGGAATTGGAACAGACTGCAGCGAACGATCGACCGTCGAGTCTACATCCGAGCCGAACGGGTGGCATTCATCCGCCCCGAGCGCTGGGAGCCATGGAACGACGACCGGCTACCTCCGGTGCGATTCCTTGAATATTTCAGAATGTCCCGGGCCGATTTTGCATGGCTTTGTGAAGAGCTGCGGGGGACTTTGGACCAGGATCACCTCCGCCAGGGAGCTCCTTTAACCGTCGAGGCGCAAGTTGCGGTAGGCCTGTATCGTTTGGTATTGAAGTCCCATAAGGCCTGTACAGGCGATTGGATAAGAAATTCTTACATATTTCCGTCTTCAAACAACCTCCTGGAGGTTGTTTGAAAGTTGTTTGAGTTAAAAAATAATTAAAAAAAGTTATGAAAATAATTAAAAAAAAACTCAAAAAAAAGGGCCTTAATAAAAAAACGCGGTTTTTCCGCGTTTTGACGCGGTTTTGATGCGCCGCAGCACACGCGGTTTCCGCGTTTAGACGCGGTTTTATTAATTAATTTTTTACGGCTTATTTTTCGAGTTTTTTTGATTTTTTAAAATTGTTTCATAGGTTTCCAAGCGTGTAGAATTTAATGGTAAAAACCATTTTCCGTGAAAATGAATTTTGATTATTAATTTTTTTTTTCCACTTATTTTTCCATTAATTGTATGCATACATGTTTTTACCTTATTTTTTATGTTTTTTTGAAATTTTAAATTTATTTCCTAGGTTTCAATACGTGTAGAATTTAATGGTGTAAACCAAATTTTTCAAAACTCAACAGTTCATCTTTAATACTGGAATTTGACGTTTTTTTCACTTAAATTTCTACAGCTTAATTTTCATTATTTTTTGATGTTTTAAATTTATTTCCAACACTTTAATACATGTAGAAAATGATGGTATCAACCATTTTTCCCCAAACTGAAAACTATACCTTGAATGCCGCATTTGACACGTTTTTTTTAATTAATTCATCACTTTTTCACTTAATTGTTTGCATACATGTGTGTACCTTATTTTTTATGCTTTTTTGAAATTTTAAATTTGTTTCCTACATTAAAAAGTGTTTAGAATTTAATGGTAACATTCAATTTCCATAAAACTAAATGGTTCATACTGAATACTGTAATGAGTCGTATTTTTCAATTGATTTTTTAACAGCTTATTTCTCATTATTTTTTGACATGTTAAATTCTTTTCCTACACTTTCAAACATGTATAAAATTATGGTAACTATGGATTTCCATGAAAATGAAAACTATGTCTTGCATAATGCCTTTGACGTGTTTCCCAAATTCATTCTTACACGCTCAATTATCCTTATTTTTTGGAATTTCAAGCCCATTTCCTACACTTTGAAAGGTTTCAAAATTGATGGCTGTATCCATTTTGAATTCAAATAAAATTTGTATATGGTACAAATTATGCAAGAAACAGGGTACACTCATCTATTAAGATTGAAGCTTGTATTTTTAGTAAAATTGGACTTCACCATTCAATTCCAAACATTTGTAAATGTAGGAAATAAATTTAAAATTTCAAAAAATGCTTAAAATCAGGCCGGTAAAAATCAATCAAAAAAACATTAAAAAAAGCCTGTCCAACGCCGTATTCAGTAACAAGCGCTGATTTTATGTAAAATGGTTGTTACCATCATTTTTATCATGTATTAAAGTGTGGGAAATAAACTTAAAATGTCAAAAAATATTGAGAAATAACATGTAAAGAATTAATTGAAAAAAGTGTCCAGTTTCAGTATTAAAAATGAACTGTTGAGTTTTATGGGAATTGAATGTTACCATTAAATTTAACACACTTTTAAATGTAGGAAACAACTTTAAAATTTCAAAAAATCATAGAAAATAAGGTACACACATGTATGCAAACAATTAAGTGAAAAAGTGATGAATTAATTAAAAAAAACGTGTCAAATGCGGCATTCAAGGTATAGTTTTCAGTTTGGGGAAAAATGGTTGATACCATCATTTTCTACATGTATTAAAGTGTTGGAAATAAATTTAAAACATCAAAAAATAATGAAAATTAAGCTGTAGAAATTTAAGTGAAAAAAACGTCAAACTCCAGTATTAAAGATGAACCGTTGAGTTTTGAAAAATTTGGTTTACACCATTAAATTCTACACGTATTGAAACCTAGGAAATAAATTTAAAATTTCAAAAAAACATAAAAAATAAGGTAAAAACATGTATGCATACAATTAATGGAAAAACTAGAGACCAAGGCGGCTGCGCCGCTGCCCTTCAACGCCTTGATTTATGTGTAGTAACCCAATCCAAAAAACCCCATTCTCCCCTCAAGCATCACAAGTTCCTACTCCCAAGAACTGTCCAGCCACAGAATGTCCTCACATTAATTAGCTACTCTCAGGCTGTTTACCACACCTAAGGCATAACGAATCGGCCCATCATTCATGAAAAACCAGACAAACACAACTCATGAAACATCGCAACCCATAGTCCAATTGACCAGTAACCCCAACTCAATACCATCTAAAGATCAGGCTCCATTGCCAATCACTTGTGTCAAATCTAATACCTACAATCAACACAAAAGGAGTCAGACCACACCAATCCTGAAAACCCGCTCCATTTGTACTAACAACAAGAAAACACAAAAAACCAGCAGGTTGACCACTCACATCTATTTCTCTTCATCATTGCACGGTCGGCATTTACCCTTTTCCTTCATTAATCGGGCTGAAGAATAAATTATCTCAGTTATATTACAAACGTCTTTAAATCAATGAGACTCACCTTTATTAGAAGATTTGAAAATCTTCCTATGAACAACGTTAACAATACCACACCGATTCGCTGGCCTTACAACCAGCAGATTGTTAACATCTGAGACACGTGAAACGGCCACGTAAAGTTGACCATGTGCGAAGACATCTGTTTCTAAATATACCCCAACCCTACTGAGTGTTTGCCCCTGACTTTTATTTACTGACATCGCATAAGCTGGCGCCACTGGAAATTGATAACGGAAAAATTAGAGGCCTGAGCGACTGTTTGACTTGTTTTGAAGCTTTGCCCTAGGTAAGGTGATGCTATTTCCTGCAAACGGACCAGACATCAACTTTCCAATAATGAAGCCAGCACCATAATCCAATACCATGATGCGTGACCCATTACAAACTCCATTCTTGATGTCCATGTTACGCAAGACAACCAGCGGCATACCAATCTTAATCATCAACTCGTGATTTGGGAATCCTCCAATGGTGAGCTTGTTGAGGCATTCTTCAGGCAAGCTTCCAACACCATCAGGGTCAGGGGTGTCGATTGACTTTAAGGTCGATGCAATTCCGGGGAGTCGGTGCAATATGTCTTCATTCAACTTCCTGACGTCACGATTGAGAGGTGCCAAAATACACCGTTCGTTTAGGTACGCAATCTTCTCGGTGTCGTCCCTTTTACAATTATCCGCGAGATCCTTATAGACAAAATCGATCAAAACTTGACGCATTTCATCTTTAGATTTACATGCCTTGATATTGATATGATTAAGCTTGATGACACTGAAGTCGGATTTTTGCTTTTTGCCTTCACCCAATATCAATAGAGCTTTCGCAAAAGCACAATTTTTTTCATCCAATGACACGCCAACTGCCTTTGCAAGCCGCATGTTATCGATGAGCTCAAATTGCCTGACTGATGCCCATATCTTCGACGACTTTATTGTTGCAGCGAATGCTGGCGGATATTTGTTAAATTTGACGACTGGAAGTATTTGGCGAAAATCGCCGGAGAATACCACTATCTTACCACCGAAATCGGCTTCTGAATTGCATATCCTCTTCAGTGATTTGTTGACTGCATCAATCGCATTTTTATGAATTGTCACAATCTCGTCCCAAATGATTAGTCTTGCGGCGATTAACCGTTCACCGACCATTGTGTCCGCCTCTACTGTACACTCCCCACCCACTGGAGTTTCTATTGGAATCTTGAATGTTGAATGCGCTGTTTGACCCATTCTGAGTAAAAGAGCGGCAACACCTGATGAAGCGCAAACAATAGTCCTCGAACTATTGAGTGTTGCCCAATCAATCAGCGAATTCAGCAGGAAGGTTTTTCCCGTCCCACCTGGACCATCGAGGTAAAACATCTTCCCACCTCCGCCGAGAACAGCATTCTTGACTTTTTGAAAGAAGAGGCGTTGGTGTTTGTTGAACTTTGCTTGATTGAGTGATAGCCTCGCTGAGATGTCGTTTGGATCCTCAATCCCCTCCTGCTCAGCCTGTATTGTTCGAAGTAATTTCCTCTCGTTCTTCGTTACAATAAGTCCACACGAGTCCAATGTTGCACCCATCCCCTCTACCAATTCCTTTAGCCGGAAAATTGCAAGAACTCTTCGCTCATCATCTCTAAGCTGACGACTATATCGTTTTCTCATGTCAACCCGACAGCAATCATCTGTAAAGCTGAGGAAATGAGTAGCAAATAAATCCAATGGAGCAGACGGTGGTGAGTGGACACATATCATCGCAAACATTTGGGCAAGTTGATAGCCAGTGCTGACGGTGGCTGCCTCGTGTAGTGCCTGGTCGTAAAGATAATCATTCACCAGTAGGCCTAAATCATTGCAGGCATCCTGGTACGTTGGGAACACATGGCCGTTGACGCTTCTCAAATCCTCAAACGAAACAATTCCTTTCCGATGAAGCAGAAGGACACGTAGATAAAACCTTTCGCCAGCCAAGTAGGAAATTGAAAAAACCCTCCCAACAGTCAATGCTTTTTTCTTCCTCGGAATCCAGGATTTGTCCCCCTTGTTCCACGAAAAATACGCTGGAATATCTTCATAAAAAGTTGATCTTGCAGTGACACCATCAGCTCCAACTGCGTCATTTGCATTAAGCTCAAAGTATTCTGTCAGGGTAGTGCGATTCGCTTTCCCACTTTCAATTTGCCCCGCAAGACCGTCTTGACCTTCAAAATAAACAAGTTGTTCATCTTCGTCGTGGACTGATAAACGAGTTACCGGTGGAAAACGGTCTGAAAGGGGAAACTTAAAAAGTCGCCATGCAGCTTTACAAAAGTGTCAGCAAAAGTCTGGAATATGCGTATTGAAAGTCAGAAGCCCACCCTCAACCGCGCTGATATAACGCCCATCAACAAATGACCTAACTTCATCATTTGATTCAACGGACAAGGCCATTCAATCGTGTCCCTTAGTGATGTACTTATAAAGGTACTTGATAGCCGTCGTATTCACTGGCACTTCAACATTTATGTGACAATTGAAGTTCAACGTTAGGTATGGGTTGTATGGCACAACCGATCCGTTGTCAAATGTTGTAGTGTGCTTCACAACCCGCGAGCCATCGTTGCGACGTCTGTAAACTGGGTAGGCTCCATCGACATTGACTGTGCGTTCTGCAAAGGGTTTAGGGAAGCCAAGTTTGCAAGATTTCCCATTCCAACATGGGCGACCCTTACAAGGGCCATGAAGCATGAACTCGGACACGAGGGCATGCAAGCGTGGTGATTTGGCCGCATCAGGTAATTCGGCGGAAACAATCTTGTCAATTTCTTCTGGTGTTACTGGTCGATCGCTTTCGTCTAGGGTCACCATCAAGTGAAGATGAGGTAATCCTCTCTTCTGAAACTCAACGGTATAGACATATGCAAGAACTTTTCCAAATCTTTCCATATTGACAATTTCGTTTATCAACTCCTTCATCTTCAAGTAAAAGACCCGGGCCACAATCGTAGGGTGATCAAAGGCCTTCTCTCCAGGTGGAATCTCGTCGAGGATTTCTTTCCAGTTAGGGTTTGCGGTCATAGTTATGAATAGAGATGGTGGTCCAAACTTCCTGCAAATAGCCATTGCATCATGATAAAGCTGTTGCATGCATCGGGGACTACCAATGAAAGATGATGGCAAGATAACGCATCTTCCAAGTATTGGTGCTTGATTTTTGAGTGAGTTGACTAATCGACTATAATTTCCAGCCTTTAATTTACGTTGGTTATTTGTTACGAAAGAAAGCCTTCCTCTTTCGACGCAAAGATACATATCGACGAGCAATTCCTGCGTAAGTGATCGAACAGCCAGAATTGGTGAGAACCTCTTTCGACGTCTGAACAGCAAGTAAGCAAACCATTCCAGGGATCCAACCCGCCTGTCCTTAACTGGGAAAACACAAACTCAGTACTACTTCATCATCTATTGATTACTCCAACAGAATGCTCACCGCGTCCAGTCCATGCTGCATACAAATTGTCCCACTGTTGCTGACCGTAAGGAAAGAATATCGGATACCGAAGAGGGAAGTAGGATGAATGCATGTCCGATATCTCCTCCAAACGTTCGTCTCGACGGTGTAGAATTATTTGACGTTCTCCTATAACATCACCATCACCTTGAACCACAACTCCGACCTCATCAACAGTCGTATTATTGTATTGCTTTGGATCCGCACCTGCTGAGGGTACCCCTTGCAAGCTTATTGTTTGCGCTTTTGATTTCGAAAGTACCTCGAGGGCGTTCCTGAAGATATTAGCATAGGGGTTGATTTTTTCCATCAAGTTGATTAGGGTTAGGATCGTCCCTTGTTTAATCTTAACTCCCTTCATATTATCCTTGCTTGCCCCAAGGGCACAGTTCAGCCTATATTCCGCTTCCTCAATCCCCTTGTTTCCGACGACGTAAATTTGAGAAAACCCTGGGGAACTGTTGATTGGTTCAATGCTTGAGATCCTATGTGACAACGCGCCGGAGATCTTGAAGATGTTCACCCCCATAGGTCCTTGGACCGAGCGGTCGATCCTCGCGCCAAGCGATGTGAAAGAAATTGAATTGTTGTACATCCTCGTATAACGTTGAAAGTTAATGTCATCTGTAGAGACATATTGTTAGCCTTGATTCAAGAAACATGTTGGCTGACCTTACCTTCTCCCTTCCCGGTGAGGAATTTTCTTAAGACGGATGGATACTTTGGAGCACTTTCATCAAAGTCAGGCAAAGTGACTTTGTTTTTCTGGCAACACATCGAGTACGATTTTGTCTTCTTTGACCGGTCCAATAACGTTGCCTCGGTGGCCCAATGAAGTGCTCCACAAGACTCGCATTGATGCTCGCATCTTCCAAGCTGGTGGGGAATTGAGTAGTCGGAGCAGTTGTGAAGATTTGACTCAAAGTCTGGTGATGTGCTATTAGTGATCCTCGATTTCGAGTTTATCATTTTATGTTAGTGCCTAAATTACTAAAGGTGATTGTACGTTGTCACCTTACTCAATTATTACGAGGGGAGGTTGACTTGGGTTGCACTGAGGGAATCAGCGCCATGGACAGAGAAGAAAACAATAAGCAGTTGGAAGCAACTAACACGAACAAGTGCGTTCCGGCCGCATTCCTCATCGAAAAACGCTCGGTCACAATTTGATCGGTCACTATCTGAATCACTACCACCATCATGATCATTATTGTCATTTTTCACGTGCTAGTGTCCCAAGCTTCATGCACGCTCTACCCGTTGTTCAATTCGATACAATGATTTGTTTCTCCGAGCTATAGTTTTTAGTAGGAAACTTGTCCACATGGAATGAATTCAACAAGATTATTGGGCAGTTTAGGCAGTTCTCCTGCAATTCCCTCAAGAAGGCATAATTAAAGTGATCGGATAAAGGCACGGGTAAAAGACTATGTTGCCTCTTACTCAGTCACCGCACAAACATCAGGTCCTTCTTGTAATGTTCAAGACAGGATGTAAACCACTTGTTGCTAATCGACCTGGGAAAGTATTCAGCCAGCCATCAGCTTATGTTGAGTTGGAGAATATTGCAACTGGTAGGACTGACAACTAATATTAAAATGCCTGATCCAATTTCTTCGCCGATGAATCGACCAAAAAATTTGACTTTGTCACGAATCAAAATCTGACAGCTTTCACTCCTGGGAGTTTCATCAACTGCTTTGTCTATTCGTAACTGTATACATGATGAAATTCCCTGATAGAGCGAGTCAGCTTTATTCATTAATGCGTGGCGGTCAACTTACTGAAGGTTGGTGATTGACAAGAATCTTATCCTTGATATGTTTTGTCCTTGTTGAGTCCCAGACTTCTTGAATGGACTGTACAATTCCTACCCCACAATATCCATTCCATGTGGTCTGGGTTCCAATCCAATTTTGTCACACGCTTGA